GCCGCCTTTTACTTCATGCTGCGGGCGTTCCGGTGAGTGCAAGGCGGGGGACGGGGCTGTATCCGTGTTCTGTTGCTCCCGCTCCTGCTCTTGTCCCCATTCTGGTGTCCCCTGCCCCGGGGCTGTGTCCCCGCTGGTTCCCGTTCCCGTTATCCCGGGCTGTGTCCCAGTTTGTCCCGGTTCTGAGGTTCTCTACCCTGCTAGTCCTGGTTCACCGTGGTCGGGGATGTCACCCTGATTGTCCTGGTCCTGGACAGTCCCCCTTGCTTGTGGCATTGTCCTTGCTTGTCCCGGTTTCCCTGACGGTCCCGGTCTTTCTCTGGGTCCCCCGAAATCGGTCACGGTGTCCCTGTCCCATGCCTGCCCCAATTTCGCTCCTAATCCTTGGGTTTGTGCCCATTTTCCCTGAATCCCCCTTTCTGCTTCCCCAGCGCATCCCTTTGGCAGCGAGTCCAAAGCGTCGCTGTAAATCCCTCACACTGTTAATTACCCGAGGTAATTAGCGCTAAACCATCTCCGCTAAAGCCACCCGCTGGGTGGGGACAGCGGCTCACTCACTGCGCTCTCCGTGTCGCTCAGCCCCAGGTCCGAGGGCCCCAGAAACGAGCCCAAAACTCATTTCAGGTTGAAGAAACCCCAGAGGAAGAAGTACGGGCTGCTGTCGAGCCAGGACGAGAACATCGAGCTGGGCTCCCTCGACAGCGACGAGGACACCGTGTTTGAAAGCCGGAACCTGAGGCGGTGAGGGAGCATTTTGTGTGTTTTTTGTGTTGCTCTTTTCCTCACAAGGGGCTGAGGCTCCTTTCCCAAAGCTGTGGGAGCTCTGGCACAGCTCCTACAACCAGATCTGCATAAATTAAAACGCCTGTGTGTGGTCTCTGTGTTGGCACACGGATTTATCTCACTTTTCCTCGTTTTCTGGCCCAAGAAAGTCTCACTGACAGGGTTATTTGTGGGGTTGTGGAGCTGTTGGGAGAGCCCCTGTGCCCAGTCTGGGCCTCCCTGTGTTAGACAGAGAAACAGAAATTCCTGTTTTTTTTCCTTCAGCTTAGGAATTGCTTCCAACTCATATCACAGTTCAAACTCCCAGTCCCATCAGGGTATGCATTCCCGTTTTCCCAGCAAAATTCCTGGTTTATTTTGGGTTTTTTCATTTTGGGAATTGCTTCCAGGTCTCATCACAGTTCAAACTCCCAGGGATATCCATTCCTGTTTTCCCAGCAAAATTCCTGGTTTGTTTTGGTTTCCTTTCTTCATTTTGGGGATTGCTTCCAACTCATACCACAGGTCAAACTCCCAGTCTCACAGGGATGTATATCCATTCCTGCTTTCCCATCCATCATTGTGTTCACATTCCAAAGTTTGATTTCTGGGGAGGTTGTTTTAAGCTGAGGAGGAGTGTCACCTCAAGGAATGTCACCTCAGCTCCCCCTAATTTTGGGTGTCTCCTTTTTTTTTTTCCAGATGACTGAGGACCAGTGGCACTGCCTGGAATGATGGAGGGTCCAATCCCAGTGGAATCTTTAGTGCTCAAGTTTTCTATCTGCTTACAGTGACTTCACTAACAGTCTGAGCCCTTCCATAGCTGGGGCAGGGGGAGAGGGGACCAAACCTGTTTTCTTCACGTGCATTTTTGGGGACATTTCTGGGCAAAGATGGGAGCTGTTCACTGCATGGGGAAAGGCTTGAGGTAAAGGAGATGCTCTTGGAGGATTTTCAGCGCCTGAAATCTGAGCTCCAGAGCTGCCCCCGTGCCTCATACCCCTCTCTCCATGCCCTGGAAGCATCAGATCCCTTCTCCAGGCTGATCCTCTTTCCTTCATGCAATATCAGGTTACTTCTTTGGGAAGTGTCTCTGTAATCAGCTTCTGGGAGGAGCTGTGAGAGCTCTGGCTCTGTTACAGGAACGGGGGTGGGAGGGTGATAGCTCAGACAGAGCAGCTTTGGGAAGGAGTTAAACGAGTTACATTTTGCACGATTGGCAATTCCTGGGATAATCCAGGTCATTCATGGGTTTACAGAAATGAAAGGGGCCAAAACCCAAAGGAATCTTTCTCCAAAAGGGCTGGGAATGCCTGGACACTGCCCCGCCCCAGCTGTGAGCTCACCAGGGACACGTGTGACATCTGCCAAGCTCTGGATACCTGAGGAAGAGCCAGATGTGAGCCAGGGAGTGTCTTGGAGAGCTGATGACTGGAAAAGGGGGACCCCAACCCCTCCTGACTGTGATTCAGGGCAGCCCTGGATGAGCTCTCTCCTCTCAAGGACCCTGGAGTTTCATTCCCTTGGCTGGTACTCAGCTGGCATCTTTCCTGCAGCCCATTGTTACGTGGATATTTGGGATCTGATTGTGTAGGACCAAAGGTGAATGTGTCAGGAGGTGGTTTTTGGGTAGATTTGCTGCTAAGTCGGTGAAAACTCCTCACCAATGTTTCTGTCTGTGGCCTTTCCTTGGAAACTGGCAGCACATCCTTCAATCCCACTTCCCCCCAAGCTGGCAGTGCCTTTGGAAAACCAGAGGGATTCACCCTGCGGGCAGGGAGGGTCCCTGTGGCACATTTAGGGTGAAAAATGAGGATAATTCACCTTTAGGGTGAATCTTTGGGATGTCTGGCTCCTTTCCTTTGGCTTGCAAACCCCCTGTGGATCAGGGGCACCGATGGCTCTTGGAGAAGGGACAGGGATGTGCTGATCCTGATCTGGGGGAGGCTGGGGGCTGCCAGATGCTGCAGGATCTGCTGAGGGAGTGCTGTGATGCTGTGCAAGCAGCAGTTTGTCTGTCAGGACAGGTGAGGTTTCCTGGAGAAACCCCACCCTCGTGGCAGCTCTGTCTCACACGTGCACAGAGGATTTTAAAATACACACATATATTTTTTTAATAACATTGCCGTGTGCACACAGCGCTTGCATGTGCCCTGTTTTCCTGTCGTTTGGATCGTTTCACACCTGTTTTGGGTGTTCCCTGCCTTGTGGGAGCAGGCAGAGCTTCCATGTGGGGATTGCTGGGGTGGCTTCACCCGGATCAGCTTCCCTGGTGATGATTTGAGCTCTGTGAGGATCTTTCTTCATCCTGCAGGGCTGCATGTGCTGGTAAAATTCCCTGGCTCTTTTATTCCCTCTGAAAAGTTGTTCCTTGTGCTGCTGGAGCCTGACTGTCCCACTGCCATGCTCAGTGTTTGACCAACACGTTCCTCATCCCTCCTTCACCTGGAGCATTCCTTAGGCTCCCCTCTTGTTGGGCAGCTGGGGTTTGCAATTCTCAACTTTCCTCACCTCACACCACTGGAGCATTTGTTTAATGTTAAATTATTCAGATCAGAGGGAACCTCAAGCAGTAGGTCTTGCCTTGAAAATAATTCTGCTGCAATTAATTTTGGCTGGAACAGATGTTTGTGTTTGAGCAGGGAAAGGTGTGGAGCAGGTGATTAAGTGCCTGGGAAAGAAATTGATGTGCCAACCTAGAATTTCTACACCACTTCCATCTTTTCAGAGTCCTCCTGGCCACCTTTAAGGGGTGCAGGGTACAAAGGTGCTTGTGGGGCTGTCACTTGTCCTGGTCTTGGGCTGGAGCAGTAATCAGGGACCTTGTGAAGCTGTTTCCACTTCCATCCTGCCCCTCAGCAGCAGTTGGCATCTGGGTTTGCCCTTTGCAGGCTGTGATATTCCATCCCTGCTCTGCTCTGAGTCCTTGGAGACCTTTTCTAGGAGGAGAAAACCCAAGTGACAGATCTGAGACTCCTTGGGGTGCTCAGCATGATCCATTTCTCTGGGAGGAATCATCTGGATCTGGCACTTCCTGCAGTGTGAGCAGTGCCAGGCCAGGCCAGGGGGTTTGGGGTGAATCTTGCAAATAACAGCAGCTTTGAACACCTCACGTGACATTTCCACAAAGGAGCAGTTCAGGTGTTTCTTCCATGACTCTTCAGTTCCTCCATGTGTATTTGATACCCTTGTTTTAGGTCTGTGCCCCAGTTGGATCTTCAGATTTCCAGTTGTTTTTCATGCTAAACGCAGGAATGCAAACAGATCCACCTGTGCCTGATCCTGGGCAGGCACTGCTGCACTTTTATTTCTCCTGGATGCATCAGGGTGTTGGTGGAGGTTCCATGTGCCTGTTGGTCTGCAGGATTCCTGCTCATCCCACCAAAAAGAGCCAATGGATCACAACCTGCAACAGTCAGCACCCGTGTGCATCGTGACTACGACAGTCTGCTCTGAATTAAACCAAATTTTCCAAAGTTTACATAATCCCTCTGTTACCTTGGAGGCTTTCTGGGCTGCCCGAACTGACTGAGGTTTCATCTGCAGGGTTAATGGGATCCATGGGAGCGGGGTGAGATCAGCTCTGCTGGTTTTTTTCTGTGCCTGGGATGGGACCTGCAGCCCTGCCAGGGTCTGTGCCTGTGGTGGGAGTCAATAAACAGCACTTGAGGACGTTGTTGTCTGAGCTCCCCAAGGAGCAGCTCGTGTTTTGCCCTCCTGGAGCTGCTGATCTGTCTTTAAACAGCCATGGTATTGATCCATGGTTTTCTTGTCATTGCAGCATCCCCCTCCCTTGTACCTGGAACCACTGGAATAAAGAATTCCAGCCCACCCATCCCTCCCTGCTGAGCCTGTGGGATGAGGCTGCTCTGGTGAACTCGTGGATTTATGGGGTCTTTGGGGTTTCCCCCTCCTCACAGGGCAGTGACACTGAGCTCCCAGAGCTGCTGCTCACCTTGTGTCCTGTCTGGAAGTGTCCAAGCCCAGGCTGGATTGAGTTTGGAGCCACCTGGTCTATGGAAGATGTCCCTGCCCATGGGTGAACTTTAAAGTCCCGTTCAAGCCATTCAGTGACTCTGTGATTCCCCAATCATCTCTGGGTTGTTTCAGTTTTCTGAAGTCTCCTCCTTTCTCCCTGTTCTCACATTAATCCCCTTTATTGTACAGAGGACCAAATAAAGTCTCTGTAATGCCAATTCCAGCCTCTCCACAGCAGCAGAACCAAATTCCATTTTGCTTGTTATGAAGTGAGGAAGGAGATGCTGTTCCCTGGATCACAGAATCATGGAGTCTGAGTTGGGAGGGATCATTGAGTCCAACACAATGGGATGCACAGACACCTCAACAACCCCAATCTGTCCATCCCTGAGAGCAGTGTCCAAACTGGAGCTCTTCCAAAGTGCTCCTGGAGTTTTGGCGGCCTTGGAGCTGGGACCATTCCCTGGGAAGCCTGAGCAGAGCTCCAGCACCCTTGGGGGGAAGAATCTTTTCCTAAAATCCGACCTTAAACCTGCCCTGACTCAGCTCCAGCCCTTCCCTCAGCTCCTGCCCCTTGTCCCAGAGAGCAGAGATGGGAGCTGCCCCTTGGGAGTCTCCCCTGAGTCTCCTCCAGGCTGAAATGGGAATGTCCCAGCTCCTCCCTGCCAGGAATTCATTCCAGAACAAACCCAAGGGCGTTCCCTGACTCACACCTGCTTCTCATCAGTGAGAAAACAGACGCCACATTCCCCCTGTCCCCCTCTGCCACCCTGCCCGTGTCCCCATGTCCTGGAGGAGCTGGGAGGGTTTTGTTTGCTGCAGGATTTCCCCTCGTTACTGGTGGGATTCTGGGGGGCAGCGGGGTCAGGGCCCACCAGGAGCTGGGGCACAGGGGATCCCTGTAGGTGGCACTCACAGACCAGACTTGCAGCTGCCAGGGCACTGCAGGCACCTGGGGAAGCTGCAAATAAATCCTGGTGCCTTGAAAGGCGAATCTGCTTCTTCCAGCAGCTGGGATGAGCTGGCAGTGCCCTTTGGGGGTTTTGTCTCTTTTGGCATCAGGGTGGGGGAACAGCAGGTTTTGGGGTGGCTCCTGGGGAGCTGTTGGGGTTTCTCTCTCAGGGGAGTGTCTTGCCCCAGCTCCACTTGAACCAGGTTCCACCTGGCCCTGTCAGGACTTGTTTGGGAAAGCTTTTTATGATTCTGGCCTTGCAAGGTTTCGGGATGCCCTGGTTTGATGGAGTGATGCCACCAGCTCCAGCACAGACATGAACAGCATCACCCTGGGGGCACCCCGGCTTTCCTGGGCCAAATTAGCTGCAGTGCTAATGAGCTAACACAGAGCACTCCCTGTGCAGCAGCATGGGCAGGACACCATCACCATGTCCTGTTAGATTGGATATGAGGGGAAAATTCCTTCCTCAAAAGGAAGGGATCCAGCCTGACTCAGTAGTGGTGTCACCATCCCTGGAAGTGTTCAGAAGACCCCTGCATGTGGCACCTGGGACATGGTTTAATGGTGCCCTTGGCAGTGCTGGGACTTCATGATCTCAGGGGTCTTTTCCAAAAAAATTCCATCATTCTGTGCTTCCAAGCTCCGTCTGTGTGCGGTGCTGGGCTCTGCCACAGGATGTGAACCGAGTGCTTGTTCCTTTTCAGGCTCAGGGGGCTGTTACCCCAATTAGCACTAATTGCTGTGGCCCTTGGTGCTGGACCAGCTGCAGCTGTGCTGTCCCCTTCTCATCCCTGTTCCCTGCTCTGTGCCATCCCCTCTTCCCCAGCTCTCAACGGGGCCAGGCTCCGGCTGGCGCTGGCTGGGATTCCAGTCACAAACACAAGCTGGCGGCATGGATCTGCTCGGAATTTATTTTAAACTCGAGGTAAAGTGCTCTTGATGCTTTGGATGCAAATTTCCTTTGCCTGGAATGGGAGCTGCGGGGCCGGTGGAGTGCCAGGGAGCTCTTTTGATTCCAGAGCCTGTTTGCTGCTGCTGCGGCTCCTCACGCCGCGCTCCGTGGAGTGCGAAATCACCTCTGCGGCACAGCCCGGGGAGGGAGCACTGCTGAGCTCTTCTCTCTCTTCTCTCACTCACTGTCCCCTGCTTTTAATGAGGGTTTGTGTCTAAAGTTGGGGTGTTTTTTTAGGTTTTGGTGTGTTTTTTTTTGTTTTGGGTTTTTTTTGTGTTTTTTTTTTGGGTATTTTTATGTGTTACAGCAGTCTGTGTGTTATTTTTCTGGTCACTGTCTGGGAGAAGAGATGATCCAAATCCCCCCAGCACCCCAAGGAGGAAAAAAAGAAAAATATAGAATATAGAAATTTAGAATACAGCAAGGATATTTTAGAAATTTAGAAATAGTTTAGAAATTTAGAATACAGAAAGGATAATCCATTCATGGATTTTGGACTTTGTCACCGCATTTCTCCAGTACTCGGTGAACTTTAGGGTTTTTTAGGTGGCATTAACCAAGGTAAGGTTGGATGGGGTTTGGAAGAACCTGATCTAGTGGAAGGTGTGAAGAAGCTGATCTGGTGGAAGGTGTGCCTGCCCATGGTAGGAGGTGGAAATGAATGAGCTTTAAGGTCCTTCCAATCCAAACTATCCTGGAATTTTCTCCATGGGCAGCTCTGGGTCATGGGTTGTCCCCATGGACACACCAAGCTCTTGGTGCCATTGGGGCCAAGCCCTGGATGGGTGAGCAGATGAGTGTGGCCAGGGGAAGGTGTCACAAATTTTGTCCCATTTATTGCTCACACACTCACTGGGTGGCTCTTGGTGTGACTTTGGATGGTTTTGGAATTTTCCCATAAACGTTTTCAGCTGCACTCAGTTTTCTTCTGGCTGTGTCCCTCTCATTGTGGGCAGGGGCTGGGTGGTCTTCCTCACCTTCATTCCATGGGCATTGGCATTCCAAAATGTGTCTCTGGGTTGGCACATTGGGAAGGAAGCTGGGGATGTTTGAAAACCTGCTGCAGAATCTCTGATGTCTTTTCTGTTCCACTCAACAAAGCACCTCCACACAACAAGCAGATTTTCCTGTATCAGAAATTACCTTTACTTAGTTGGCTTTTTGTCTAAATCCTGCTTCTGATCTTTATTTTTTCCCTTCCATCATGGAAAGGTGAATGGAAGTGGCACTTCAGCCACCAAAGCCTTTCCTTTAGAATTGCTGCTTGTTTTTTGTTTTAAAAATTTTCCAAGGGGGGCTTTGCAGGGGAGGAGGAAGGAGCGTCCGCTTTTCAAGTGACTCTGGGGAATAAAAGTATAAAGGACAGGAATGATCAGAACTGTGCTGGCAACAGAACAATATTTTATTTTTGAGTACCAGAGCTAATTGGAGAAGGAATTCACATGACAATTTTTGCAATCTAAGGATAAGTAAACATGAAAGGGGCTCTGTGCTCCTGAACGTGCGATTGCAGTGGGAATGGGGGGGGGAACAGCCCAAAAATTAAATTGGAGACAATATCTTAGATGTTACAATCTCATGTTTGCTTCTCATAATGCTGGATCAAAGTCACAAGCTGGGGTACCTGTTGGGGGGATGGAACTTCCATGCAGCCATGGGCTGGAATTGCCAGAAAAAGAGGATTTTGGGTCTGATTTGCTGGAAGCACTTCCACGGGTTGTGGGATTGCTGTAGATCTGAATAGGTCCTGTCTCAGAAGGGCTTGGAGAACCTCTGCTCATGGAGAGGTGTTTGAAAACAATTTTTGTAGACAATTACCTGCTGCTTTACTTATGGCATGTGGGGAATATGGGGGTGATGGGTCACATCCAGTGCTGGGAAATGGAAATGAAATGGCACTGAAATGGCACAGAACTGGTGTGTGGGCACCCTCCTCATTCCCTCTCCCATTGGAAGCATCTCCTAGTGCTGGTGATTCCCTCCTGCCACGCTGGAATCCCCAGGAATTGCTGTTGGCAGCGCCTGGATATTCTCAAAGTGCTTCCATGTGCCACACAGTTCAGAGCTTGGAAATGGGGGTGTTGAGATTTCAGCTCTGCAGACAGAAGAGTCCATTCCAGGGTTATGCTCAGCCCCTGCAGAGCACCAGGAGGTTTGTCCTGCTCCCTGTGAGGTGAAAGCAAAAGGTTTCCCTGGAGGGGCTCCAGCCCCTCCCTGGAGCATTCACTCTGCCCCACTACGCTGCTGTTACGTTCAGGTGGTTAATTACTCCCGCTCTTTAAAAGAATAAAACCTCATGTACTTAAAATAATCCCAATTATTTCATTGTTCAGCCCGAGCTGAGCCCAGCCACCCCCGCTCCTGCAGAACTGCTGGAAAGGCTGCTCCTGACAGGGAAAAACTGATGGGCATTAACTCTGTGAGCAGCAGCTGAGGGGATTGAGGGTTTGGGGGGGTCATGGTGCTGCTCTACCTGTAACCCCCAGGTGCCTCTCCAGGACATGCCAAGTCCAATTCCAGTCGATGTATGGCAGGGCCTGTTGCAGTAGGACAGGGAGTGATGGTTTTAAACCAAAAATGCTGATTTAGAGTGGATAAAAGGAGGAAATGAGGTGAGGAGGCTCTGGTACAGGTTGCCCAGAGATGCTGTGGCTGCACCATCCCTGAAAATCTTCAAGGCTGGGTTGGATAAGGCTTGGAGCAATCTGGAATAGTGGAAGGTGTCCCTGCCCATGGCAGAGGGTGGAACTGGATGATTTTTTAGATCCCTTCCCACCCAAACCATCCCAGTGTTCCACGATGCTGCTGGCAATGCAGAGCTGGCTCTGCTGCTGAGGACACCCTGGAGGAGCAGCTCCTGATAGGATGTTCTGATGGAGGGATATCTGGGGGGGTTCTCATCTCACAAAGGGGACCCTCAAAGCAGCCGAGCAGGATCGTGGCAGTGCTTCCATCTCTGTGTGTGCCAGAGGCACAGCAGGACCTCGGGCGCGGTGGCTCCGGCTCGCTCGTGCCGGGGTGTATCGGTGTATTTTGATCCTTTTTCTTGCCAGTGTTATTTTAATCCGCTTTTCTCTCACATCAAACCCCTCTTCCCGCAGAACACACAGAGGCATCGGGTTTGTGCCCTTTGTGATTGGTAGCAAAGGGCTGTGATAGCGCGTTTTTCCTTTAGAACTGGAGGTTTTATCCCTGTGATAACTTTAGCTGCGCCACAGTCATCGTTTGGGCTTCTTGGCTGGCTCAGATGAGTGCAGGGAAAAAGCTTCCCACATTTATTAGAGGAAGAGAGGGCTGAGAGTTCTTAGGAA